GAGGAGAAGGGATAAAGAAGAAGACGATGATTGGTCGACATTCTCTAAAGAAGAAGAAGAAGAAGAAGAAGAAGAAGAAGAAGAAGAAGAAAAAAGGTGAGAAGAAAAGTGGAGGAAGACGATGATGGGGAATAAAAACGGAAGAAGAAGAAGAAGAAGAAGAAGAAGAAGAAGAGAAGAAGAAGAAGAAGAAGAAGAAGAAGAAAAGTGGAGAAGGGACTCAGAGGAAGACGATGATGGGGAATAAAAACGGAAGAAGAAGAAGAAGAAGAAGAAGAAGAAGAAGAAGAAGAGAAGAAGAAAAAAAGGGATTCTTCATCCTATTTTCAGAGGAAGAAGAACTTTGGGGAATAAAAAAAGAAGAAGAAGAAGAAGAAAAAGAAGAAGAAGAAGAAGAAGAAGAAGAAGAAATTTGGAGAAGAGAATGAGGAAGAAGATGGAGGGGAAATGGAAGAAGAAGAAGATTAGAAGAAGAAGAAAGAAGAAGAACTTTCGAAGAAGAAGTCGAAATCTCTTCTATCCTAGAGGAAGATGATGGAGGGGAATAAAATGAAGAAGAAGAAGAAGAAGAAGAAAAGAAGAAGAAAAGAAGAAGAAGAATGAAGAAGAAGAAAAGAACTTTCGATGTCAGAGGATTCTCTTCGATGATGGGAAATTTTTGAGAAGAAGAAGAAGAAGAAGAAGAAGAAGAAGAAGAAGAAGAAGAAGAAGAAAAGTGGAGAAGGGATCAGAGGAAGACGATGATGAATTTTAGATAAAAAGAAGAAGAAGAAGAAGAAGAAGAAGAAGAAGAAGAAGAAGAAAGAAGAAGAAAAATGGAGAAGAACTTTCAAGAAGAAGACATTGTGGAATGAAGATGGAAGAAGAAGAAGAAGAAGAAGAAGAAGAAGGAAGAAAAGAAGAAGAAGAAGAAGAAATGAAGAAGAAGAAGATGATGTTTGGTCGACATAAAGAGGAATCCTATTTTTAGTAAAGAAAAAGAAGAAGAAGAAGAAGAATAAGAAGAAGAAGAAGAAAAGTGGAGAAAAGAAAATATTTTAGATTAAATATGAAGAAGAAGAAGAAGATGTTTGGTCGAGAGGTTTCTATCCTATTTTGGATCTCTGGAAGACTGTCCCATGAAGAAGAAGAAGAAGAAGAAGTAAGAAGAAAAGAAGATGAAAAGACAAATATTTTAGATTAAATATGAAGTAAGAAAGAAGGATGTTTGGAAGACATTCTCTTCTATAATTTTTGAAGAAGAAGAAGAACTGAAGAAGATGAAGATTCATAGAAAAATGAAGAAGAAAATGGAGAAGAAAAGACAAATATTTTTTAGATTAAAGTAAGAACTTTTGAAGAAGTCGAATTCTCTTCTATCCTAAGAAGGATCTCTGGCTCTACTGTCCCATGAAGATAAAAGGGAAGAAGAAGAAGAAGAAAAATGGAGAAGGGACTCAGAAGAAGACGATGATGGACAAAATGGAAGAAGAAGAAGAAGAAGAAGATTAAGAAGAAGAAGAAGAGACATTCTCTTGAGGAGATTTGAAGAAGAAAATTGGAGAAGGGAATCCTAGAGGAAGACTATGTCCCATGAAGATGGAATAAGAAGAAGTAAGAAGAAGAAGAAGATGAAAAGACAAAGATTTTAGATTAAAAGAAGAAGAAGAACTTTCGGAGTTTGGTCGAGAGGAATCCTATTTTTGGGAAAAAAACTAAAGATGAAGAATAAGAAGAGGTAAGAAGAAGAAGAAGATGAAAAGAACAAATATTTTAGATTAAATATGAAGTAAAACTTTCGATGTTTGGAAGACGAGATCCTATTTTAAATCTCTGGCTCTAGTGAAGAAGAAGAAGAAGAAGAAGAAAAGAAGAAGAAAAGAAATGTGGAGATTAAAAGGTAAGAAGAGGAAGACGATGATGGGGAATGAAAAAGAAGAAGAAGATTCTCAAGAAGAAGAAGAGGAAGAAGAAGAAGAAGAAGAAGAAGAAGTAAGAAGATGTTTGGTCGACATTCTCTTCTAGATTTTTTGATCTCTGGATGACTGTCCCATGAAGAAGATAAGAAGAAGAAGAAGAAGAAAAGGAGATGAAAAGACAAAGATTTTAGAGAAAATATGAAGTAAGTTAAATGGGAGATGTTTGGTCGACATTCTCTCTATCCTATTTTTGATCTCTGGCTCTACTGTCCCATGAAGAAGAATTCTGAAGAAGAAGAAAAGTGGATGAAAAGACAGATTTTAGATTAAATATGAAGTAAGAACTTTTCGATGTTTGGTCGACATTCTCTTGTAGAATTTTTTGATCTCTGAAGAAGAAGTCCCATGAAGAAGAGAAGGGAGGAAGAAGAAAAAGTGGATGAAAAGACAAATATTTTAGATTAAATATGAAGTAAGAACTTTCGATGTTTGGTCGACATTCGAAGAATCCTATTTTTGATCTCTGGCTCTATGTCCCATGAAGATTCATAAAGAGGTAAGAAGAAAAGTGGATGAAAAGAACAAATATTTTAGATTAAATATGAAGGGAAAGAACTTTTCGATGTTTGGTCGACATTCTCTTCTAAGATTTTTGATCTCTGGCTCTACTGTCCCATGAAGAAGAATATTCTGAGGAAGAAGAAAAGTGGAAGAAAAGACAAATATTTTAGATTAACCAGGATGAAGTAAGAAGAAGAAGAATGTTTGGTCGACATTCTCTTCTATCCTATTTTTGATCTCTGATTCTACTGTCCCATGAAGATTCATATTCTGAGGGAAGAAGAAAAAGTGGATGAAAAGACAAATATTTTAGATTAAAGAAGAAGAAGAAGAAGATGTTTGGTCGACATTCTCTTCTATCCTATGGGAGATCTCTGGCTCTACTGTCCCATGAAGATGGGGAATTCTCAGGTAAGAAGAAAAGAAGAAGAAAAAAAAAGATTTTAGATTAAATAAGAAAGAACTTTTTGATCAGAGGAAGACGACATGATCTTCTATCCTATTTTTGAAGAAGATATTTTAGAAACTGAAGAAGAATGAAGAAGAATAGAAGAAGAAGAAGAAGAGGAAAAGTCCTCAGAAAGAGATGGGGAATAATTTTTTAGATTAAATAAGAAGTAAGAACTTTCTGTTTGGTCGACATTCTCTTCTATCCTATTTTTGATCTCTGGAGAAGGGACTGTCCCATGAAGATTCATATTCTGAGGAAGAAAAAAAGTGGAGAAAAAGACAAATATTTTAGATTAAATATGAAGAAGAACTTTCGATCCTTTTGGTCGACATTCTCTTCTATCCTATTTTGATCTCTGAATAAACTGTCCCATGAAGATTCATATTCTGAGGTAAGAAGAAAAGTGGAAGAAAAGACAAATATTTTAGATTAAATATGAAGTAAGAAGAAGATGTTTGGTCGACATTCGACATTCTCTCTATCCTATTTTTGATCTCTGGCTCTACTGTCCCATGAAGATTCATATTCTGAAGGAAGAAGAAAAGTGGATCAAAAGACAAATATTTTAGATTAAATATGGGGTAAGAACTTTCGATGTTTGGTCGACATTCTCTTCTATCCTATTTTTGAAGAAGAAGAAGAACTGAAGAAAATGAAGATTCATATTCTGAGGGAAGAAAAGAAGGGTGGATGAAAAGACAAAGATTTTAGATTAAATATGAAGAAGAAGAAGAAGAAGTTTGAAGAAGAATTCTCTTCTATCCTATTTTTGATCTCTGACTCTACAGGTCCCATGAAGATTCATAAAAGAGGTAAGAAGAAAAGAGGAAGAAAAGACAAATATTTTAGATTAAATATGAAGAAGAAGAAGAAGATGTTTGGTCGACATTCTCTTCATCCTATTTTTGATCTCTGGCTAAACTGTCCCATGAAGAAGAAGAATTCACAGGTAAGAAAAGTGGAAGAAAAGACAAATATTTTAGATTAAATATGAAGTAAGAACTGATGAGGTCGACATTCTCTTCTATCCTATTTTTGATCTCTGGCTCTACTGTCCCATGAAGATTCAGAAGAGGAAGAAAAAAGTGGATCAAAAAACAAATATTTTAGATTAAATATGAAGTAAGAATGATGGGGATGAAATTGGTCGACATTCTCTTCTATCCTATTTTTGAAGAAGAAGAACTGTCCCATGAAGATTCATATTCTCAGGTAAGAAGAAAAGTGGATCAAAAGACAAATATTTTAGATTAAATATGAAGTAAGAAGAATTCGATGAAGAAGGTCGAATTCTCTTCTAGAAAATTTTTGATCTCTGGGGAGACTGTCCCATGAAGATTCATATTCTGAGGTAAGAACAAAAGTGGATCAAAAGACAAATATTTTAGATTAAATATGAAGTAAGAACTTTCGATGTTTGGTCGACATTCTCTTCTATCCTATTTTTGATCTCTGGCTCTACTGTCCCATGAAGATTCATATTCTGAGGTAAGAAGAAAAGTGGATGAAAAGACAAATATTTTAGATTAAATATGAAGTAAGAACTTTCGATGTTTGGTCGACATTCTCTTCTATCCTATTTTTGATCTCTGGCTCTACTGTCCCATGAAGATTCATAAGAAGAAGAAGAAGAAGAAAAGTGGACAAAAAAAAGACAAATATTTTAGATTAAATATGAAGATCCGAAGAACTTTCGATGTTTGGTCGACATTCTCTTCTATCCTATTTTGATTTGATTGGAAGAAACTATTTTTGATCTCTGAAACTGTCCATGAAGATTCATATTCTCAGGTAAGAAGAAAAGTGGAGGAAAAAGACAAATATTTTAGATTAAATATGAAGTAAGAACTTTCGATGTTTGGTCGACATTCTCTTCTAGATTTGATTTTTGATCTCTGGCTCTACTGTCCCATGAAGATTCATATTCTGAGGGAAGAAGAAAAGTGGATGAAAAAGACAAATATTTTAGATTAAATATGAAGTAAGAACTTTCGATGTTTGGTCGACATTCTCTTCTATTGATTTTTGATCTCTGAAAAACTGTCCCATGAAGATTCATAAGAAGAAGAGGTAAGAAGAAAAGTGGATGAAAAGACAAATATTTTAGATTAAATATGAAGTAAGAACTTTCGATGTTTGGTCGACATTCTCTTCTATCCTATTTTTGATCTCTGATTTCTACTGTCCCATGAAGATTCATATTCTGAGGTAAGAAGAAAAGTGGATGAAAAGACAAATATTTTAGATTAAATATGAAGTAAGAATAGATGTTTGGTCGACATTCTCTTCTACTGTCCCAGGAAGATTCATTTTTGAAGATCTGGATGAAAGACAAAGAAGAAGAAGAAGTAAAAATTCTGATGTTTGAAGAAGAAGATCCTATTTTTGGATCAAAGTCCAAATATTCAAAAGAAGAAGAAGATGGAGAAAACACATGGGGAATAAGAATGAGTAAGACTTTCGATGTTTGGTCGACATTCTCTTCTATCCTATTTTTGATCTCTGGAAGAACTGTCCAAGATGAAGAAGATTCATATTCTGAGGTTAGAAGAAAAGTGGATCAAAACACAAATATTTTAGATTAAATAGAAGAAGAAGAAGAAGATGTTTGGTCGACAAGAAGAAGATTTTTGATCTCTGTCTAAATGGATGAAGATTCATATTCTGAGGAAGAAGAAAAGTGGGATGAAAAGACAAATATTTTAGATTAAATATGAAGTAAGAAGATGTTTGGTCGACATTCTCTTCAAATTTTGATCTCTGGACAGTCCCAGGAAGATTCATATTCTGAGGTAAGAAGAAAAGAGGATCAAAAGACAAATAGAGGAAGATTAAAAGAAGAAGAAGAAGAAGATCGAAGATTGGTCGACATTCTCTTCTATCCTATTTTTGATCTCTGGAAGAACTGTCCCATGAAGATTCAGAAGGCCAAAAGAGGAAGAAAAAAGTGGAACAAAACACAAATATTTTAGATTAATGAAGAAGAAGAAGAAGATTGGTCGACATTCTCTTTATCCTATTTTGATCTCTGACACTACTGTCCCATGAAGAGGTACGAAGAAAATATTCTGAGGTAAGAAGAAAAGTGGAAGAAAAGAAAATATTTTAGATTAAATAAAATGAAGTAAAGAACTTTCGATGTTTGGTCGACATTCTCTTCTATCCTATTTTTGATCTCTGAATCTACTGTCCCATGAAGAATATTCTGAGGAAGAAGAAAAGTGGATCAAAAGACAAATATTTTAGATTAAATATGAAGTAATGGATTCGATTTGGTCGACATTCTCTTCTATCCTATTTTGATCTCTGAAGAAGAAGATGTCCCATGAAGATTCATATTCTCAGGAAGAAGAAGAAAAGTGGAGAAAAAGACAAATATTTTAGATTAAATATGGAGAAAGAACTTTCGATTTGATCGACATTCGAAAATCCTATTTTTGAAGAAGAATGGAGACTGTCCCAGAAGATTCATATTCTGAGGTAAGAAGAAAAGTGGATGAAAAAGACAAATATTTTAGATTAAATATGAAGAAGAACTTTCGATGTTTGGTCGACATTCTCTTCTATCCTATTTTTGATCTCTGAAGACTACTGTCCCATGAAGATTCAAGAAGAAGAGGAAGAAGAAAAAGTGGATGAAAAGACAAGGATTTTAGATTAATGGGGAAGTAAGAACTTTCGAAGAAGGTCGACATTCTCTTCTATCCTATTTTTTGATCTCTGGAAGAAGAAGATGAAGATTCATATTCTGAGGTAAGAAGAAAAGTGGAGAAAAGACAAATATTTTAGATTAAATATGAGGTAAGAACTTTCGATGTTTGGTCGACATTCTCTTCTATCCTATTTTTGATCTCTGAACTACTGTCCCATGAAGATTCATATTCTGAGGTAAGAAGAAAAGTGGAAGAAGGAACAAAGATTTTAGATTAAATATGAAGTAAGAAGATTCGATGTTTGGTCGACATTCTCTTCTATCCTATTTTTGAAGAAGAACTGTCCCATGAAGATTCATATTCTGAGGGTAAGAAGAAAAGTGGATGAAAAGACAAATATTTTAAATTAAATATGAAAGAAGAAGAACTTTCGATGTTTGGTCGACATTCTCTTCTATCCTATTTTTGATCTCTGGCTCTACTGTCCCATGAAGATTCATAAAGGAAGGTAAGAAGAAAAAGTGGAAGAAAAGACAAATATTTTAGATTAAATAAGAAGTAAGAAGAAGAAGGTGATTGGTCGACATTCTCTTCTATCCTATTTTTGATCTCTGGCTCTACTGTCCCATGAAGATTCATAAGAAGGTAAGAAAGAAAAGTGGATGAAAAGACAAATATTTTAGATTAAATATGAAGTAAGAAGAAGAAGATGTTTGGTCGACATTCTCTTCTATCCTATTTTTGATCTCTGAAGAACTGTCCCATGAAGATTCATATTCTCAGGTAAGAAGAAAAGTGGATGAAAAGAAAATATTTTAGATTAAATATGAAGAAGAAGAAGAAGATGTTTGGTCGACATTCTCTTCTATGGGAGAAGGGATCTCTGGCTCTACTGTCCCATGAAGATTCATATTCTCAGGTAAGAAGAAAAGTGGATGAAAAGACAAATATTTTAGATTAAATAGAAGAAGAAGAACTTTCGATGTTTGGTCGAGATTCTCTTCTAGAGGATTTTTGATCTGGGGCTAAAAACTGAAGAAGATGAAGATTCATAGAAGAAGTAAGAAGAAAAGAAGGATGAAAAGACAAATATTTTAGATTAAATATGAAG